CTTTTAAAACAATCATTAAAAAGGTGACAAGAATAATAGAGGACTCCGGAGCCTACATGAAAGAGATTCCAGTGGACAAATATGGGAGAATTGGCATCAAAATAAAAACAGTAAGAAAATAAATTGAATAAAAATACCATGTTGGTAAAAGAAATACTTGTTTATATCAGCTTCAACATTGAACATGGTTCTAGGTGTGCTTCTCTACAAAGTTCCTCAGGCTACTGTATATGATATCCAAGCATGCACTTTCTGCAACTTGGTAGAAATACTCTTCTTCCTGGAAAATCTCCTGCACACTTCCAGAACAATCCTTCCCTCTGAGTTTCCACATCAGTAGATGAGACAGCACCCTTGTTTACCTTTATGAGACTCCACATCTTTGGAATTCTGAGAATTTATCATAAGCTGAAGAAAATCCACCCGATGCTAGAAACAGAGATTTCAAAGATAGAAGATCAATTATGAAGTCAGAAAAAAATAAGATTACAGAACTTATATTCCCTTCTGTGGCTATGACTTCTTCCAAGTACAAAAGTCCAGCTGGACTTTCCTAAGTCATCAGTGAAGAAGAGCATCCATCTACAAACGTTGGACAGTAGGACGTTTCCCTGAGTGAAAGAAGGCTATAGTGTCCAATAGCTACTGGCCTTTGCTCTCCCTGCTTCTGAGATCCTGTGGATTCTGAACACAGCCTTCTGGCCAGAGAGGGCTGGCTTTGTCTCCTGTTACATTTATTTGCTCAGGGAGAAGTCCTGGACTGCACTATTCTTCACCAAAGACATCACAAATTAATCTCCTGCCATTTTTAGAGTTCATCATCATATTTTGAGCAAGCTTCTTGAAAGATCCCACCATGATTGAAGCTATGAACTTTGTACTGACACCTGGAGGGCCCATCCTGGATCCCTGGCCTGCACACATCCTTGTGCTGGTCTTTGTACATGAGGCAAAACCTTCACCTAAAGAACCCCATGACTTCTCCATGAGGGGCCAAACAGTGCCAGCTAGCCTGAGGATGCCTTCTGTGGAGAGTTTGTAAAGTGAGAGGTTTGTAAATGCAATGATTCTTGACCATATGAAATCTGATGAAATTAAAGCACCAGGAAAAAAAATTTTATGTTGAAATTTTACCTATTGAGAAGAAGGAATACAATAAAACATTTTTCCTCTATTTTAAAAAAATTATTTCAAAGATCAAACCCTAAGGTTTATAAAAAAATTAAGTTCTACATATTAACAAGGTACCCTGTTACTTTGATGTATGTATATGCTGTTTTATGTTTATGTGAGTTTAGAAACATCTTTAACTGAATTTATCATTTCCTGATGGTGAATATTTTCAAAATAGATTTGGCTCAATTAATAAGAACAATTTTAACATAGTGCTGCAATAAACATGGGAGTGCAGATTTCATTTCCTGTGGTTATACACTTAGTAGTGAGATTGCTGGATTATACAGTGGGTCTGTATTTGATTTCTGAAGGCCCTCCAGACAGTTTTCCATTTACAAACTGTCCTAATTTAAAAATCTACTCAACAATGTACAAGGACTCATTTTTAGAGCATTTGGGACTTTTCCTATCAGCAATATTTATGCCTTGACAAACTAATTACCATGCCCATTATTTAACTGTAAATGATTTCTCTCTGGTTCATTATTTTTTTAGTATTTGGAATATATAATTTTATTTATTTAAGTCTTTTTTATTAGTTCTTTTTAGTTATATGAGAGTAGAGTCCATTTTGACATAATTACAAAAGCATGGAATATATCTTACTCTAATTCAGTTCCCTCTCTGATTCATTCTTGTTTCTCAATTACCAGATGTTAAATACTTTATTCTCCCCAAATGGAAAGCTTCTACTACTCTCAACCAAGAGTTCTTCTTCATCTACCTTTTAAAAACATACAAAGAAGTATGGAAGTCATACACCCATAGGCAAATAAATTATCAAAAATGAACCTCCTCTGTATCCACCACCGGATTTTACCTGTTGTTTCTCTTGAAGGCGACTTTCTTTCATTCTGTTTATAGCTTTCTTTAAAAAATTTGTGACATCCTTTGGAAACA